GTGGGAGGGCTGAAATTCCAAGCGTTCTGGATGTTTTTGCAGCCTGCCTTGCAGAAATAAGTGCTGGAAATCTCACCAGGAATCCTGCTCTTATGACCGTTTGCAGACCCAGGAGCGAGATCAGATAAATTCCCCAACTTTTTGGTGCTTTTCCACAACGAACCAAGCCCAAAACTCCAAACCTTCTGGCCATCGCCTATGACTTGCTTAAAAGTAACAAATCATGTTTTCCTGTATTCGGGTAGCACCTAGAGGCCCCAATCTTCCCACTGTGGTAGGAGCTATTCAAAACACACACAAGGAAAACGTGATCCCTGTGTGAAAGAACTTGCATAACCTGCTGGTGGGTATATAGCATCCTTCTCTGTGCTCAAAGTCTGCTATAGCCCCAGCCACAGAGCCCGGCTCTTTAGTTTAAGCTGTAGAGAATTGCGCCTGCAGATCTACACGTCCCTAGTTCAACTCCCGGGTCAGCCAAGATGGGGTCCCTTGCCCATAAAACACACATTTCAGAGTAAGACCCAGATATCTATTTAGCTCTGCTGTTTAAGGCTGTCAAAGCTTTCACTTGTCACTGCAGCTCAGCAGCACCTCAGGCAGACTGTAATCTGCTAATGAATTATGGACCAATGGGCTTGAGTTACAATATTTACATACTCCATTGATCAAGAATATACAGAGGAGGAGAGGGAGGTGGGGGTGTCCCATCACACACGCATTTCCTGGTTGTTCTGCCGTGATATAAAACAGCAGCCTTTCCCCTGGGAGTGACAGGGGAGAGTGAGCCTGCAGCTGTGGCAGGATGCAGTCTGAAACCCTCAAGTATGGGGGCATCTGGATTTGGCTGGCACCCAGGTAATTAAAACGGTCAAGAGCCCTGATTGCTGCAGGGAACTCTGCTGACCCGGGGGGGTGCCAAGGGAGAGCCAGCCAACTGAAGGAACCTATGCTCCGCCCGAACAAAACTGCCACCACACAGTGGTGACCTCTCTTCTGAAATCAGCCTAGGACAGAACTAACTATCCTTCAGAACGTCCAGAGAGTAGCAACACTGATACAATTCATCCCCTGGCACAATCGTTTTCTGACTGACCAGGTCTCCAAAAGACTAATGAATGTTGCTGGCTATCCTATAGGAGCAGCAGATGGGACGCCCTTCCGATGGCTCACTGTCCCCCCATCACACACACACCACACACACACGCACACCCACCCACCCATGCTTGGGCATCCATGACAGGGGGCTGGGACCCGAAAGGAAACAGTTGCTCTTATCAGACAGATACAGACTATACTCGGGGTCCTGCTGAAGTCATTTCAACATGACTATCTGCCATTGTAAATGAGCAGCTGCTCTCTGATTCTGGCCTGGTATCTGCGTATTAGCGGGGAATCCCTGCCTGGGATTCTTTGTCTGTGGGCCTGGCCCACTCCGAAGCACATCAGAGCCCCAGAGATGCTTATCTTTTCCCTCCTGTCTTCTGTCAGGTGAAGGGACTATT